CAACTTAACCCACAGTAACCACCATGTGTTAAGAACAGGCAACATCAAAACAGGGAGGCAACCAACTATTGCAGAGTAGCTTGTGACTTGCACCTTGTTCCTTATTTCATTGCAGCTTCCCTGACTGCTCCAAGAGTAACCATGAAGATGGAAGTCACTGGACTAAAAGTTACATGCAGGAGTACTTACCATGAATATAGGATTACCTATTATTACAGGATAAGAGGATTACCTATAGGTAATATATATACATCTAGGTAGATAGATAAATAGACAGATGGATAGATATACCTATAGACATATATATATATATAGATATAGATATACCTATAGGCTTACCTATATTATAGGATACCACTACTTATGCAAGTTTGCAGTTTTCTTGCCTTCACTTTGCAAGGCCAAAGTCAGCTACAATAATAAAAAAAGGGACAAAAAGATTCACATCTCAATAGCCACCTCCTCTGCATGACAATCAGTGCTCAGTTGCAACAGCTGAAAAGTTGGGGGAGGGTGGAAGGGAAGTTTGGGATTTTTTATCTTTTACATTTCACAGAACTGGACCATATTCTTTTTATCTCCACATTCATCAGCAACGTACACTTGAATTCAGCCTATCTGCTTTAAAAATACCATAAGCACACTTCTCATGGTTTCAAGCTAAACTATATGACCAGTTTCAGATTTCTACCAATATATTTCAATAAACTGTATGACAATGCTATGTCTCTAATAAGCAGTGATCTCATACTAATCTCTAATAATCTAAATTTATGGTAATTATTTTTCTTTCCTTGAAATTATGACAGTTGGGAAGGGTAAAATTTCCAAGAAACTTAATTTCAAAGGAGCGTGGGGTGGGGGAGTCTAATAACTTAATAGTTCATGTTCAAAGATGGAATTTGGTAAGAAATGATGGTGAATCTTAGCCTTACCTTGTGAAAAAAGCTGTAGATTTAAATGATCATGTAATTATGTTAATATAAATGCCTTGTGCAATTATCAGGTAGTCTTTCACAAAATGTCACACACAGTCTTTAGAGATTATATTTTTAATCAAAGTTCCATGCAAACCGTTCAAGTTTGTTTTTTCCAATTCAATATTCTACTGCTGCCTCCACACAACAATGCAGCTAAGATACATCACACTTCATTAAGTCCAAGCACAAAGAGCAGAAAACATTATTGCACTTCATAAATCCTGTTAATAATTTTTGCATTGCAATGCTACTTCAGAAGAAGATTTTTGTTGTAAGTAACAAATTACAATGTTTAAAATATTCTAAAAACTTCTGTTCTACTTGGACAGAGCCTATAGCATGCCTATTCCAATTGCTTTCACTGTGACACAGTTCATAAAAGTTTTATGTTACTACCCATCAAAAGAAGCTGGAGATGAGAAGAAATACAGGTAAGAAAAATTAGTTTCTCTTGGCTCTTACTCAGTGCAAACCTCCAGGGTCTGACAAAGAGCAGTTCTTAAATTCAGAAAGGGCTTTTGATAAGAAAGCCAAATCTAGACACTCAAGCTGCAGATCATTTTTCTTTGAACAAAATGTCCAAAGAAGGACTAGCTCTGCAGTGCTTGGAAAATGTAAGTAGAAAGAATGCTAAATTAACAGGATAACCAAGAAGCCTCCCTTTTCCCTTGAGTTAAGGCAGTCCTCAGGCCTTTGTATTTTTGAAATACAAAAAATAAATTTCTTGTATTTCACTACAAGAAATATTAATCCCCAAAGGTTTTTGCAGTGTTGATACTTTCCTGTATTAACTGGGCTGAATAATTCTAAATTAATTCCTTTGGAATTCTTCAAATAACATTTGATGAAGGAAGAGTGTTGAGAAATTCCAATAATTTATAAATTCAGTTCCTGTTGAGAGATTTAGTAAAGGAAAGAAGGCAGGTGAACCTCTCAGTTCTGGGCATAGTAGTTTACTTTAATACAACATGAGTGATTATCTGGAGAAAAGAAAGAAAGCAAGGGAAAAATCAGTCAGATGGAGAAAATATATTCTCTTTATTTTAAGCTCAGGTCCTCAGAAATGGAGGGATAAAACCCTTTCACTGGCAATTACTTTTTAGCTGAATTTTCCAAATTCCGCTAATCTTTGTTGATACCAGCAAGAAACTCCTACATACAACTTGTGCTGCCAGAGCTAAGGAATGTAAAGCCCAGGACAATCTGCTTTACATTAAGCACATTTTTTTTTTCTTAGCTTTTTCATGACTATAATAGAGATTCAAATGAAACAGAACTGCCAACTGTTGAACTACATCAAACTAGTGACATTGCTTCTTTTAATTTATTTAAGCATTTGTCTTAATAAATAAATAAATTGGTCTACCACTTCTAATATTCCATGATTATTTGGTACGTGATGCCAAAAGTTGCTACAATGACTAACAAACAAAGTAACAAACAAATGAAATAACTTCTGAGAACTCTGACAGGCCTGTCTCATGTATCATTAAATGAAGATATAACCAAATATGAAGGTGACCCCTATTCATTAGCTATATTTAATTTTTTAAAATTTGCTAAGAAATAGTCAAACAACTATACAAGACAATCCTCAAACAGGAAGAAAAATTAAAATAATATGATGTAGTCATAATCCTTTAGATTCTGATCCTTCACTTTTTTCACTTCTTTACACTATGTTTAGAGTTGCAGAATAAGTGATAATGAAGCAAGGTGGTTTCAAAAAAGATTAAAAATCTGTGGAAGAGGGCATGAAGGAAAGACAGAACTATGAAAATAGGACTAGGCATACTTGGCTAATATCTTAACCCCCTACTTAATGGTCTCTGCAGCTTTCATAAGAGCCAAATTACAGAAACTTTCTAAATCTTAGCACTCTCTTCCAATGAGCATTTTAGATACCTGCAATGGTTTTTCATTACTCTTTTTATTAAAAGAATCTGGATTTTCATTAGCTGTTTCATTTCCCAATGAAATGAATTTTTTCCCAAAATTCTCACCTAAATTTATCTTCTGCCATATAAACAAGACAAAAATTATTCAGATACAACTTAACAACACTGACTTCATATTTGCAAGTTTGCTGCCTTAATTTATATCTGAACCCTATTCGAAAATGTCATTAACTTCTCCTAAAATCAAATACACACACAAAGACCAAACACACAGCAAAAAAAGAATGTTAACAGAGTATCAAATTTACCCCATATATGAACTTCAGAGCAGCTCACATCAGATTTTCACTGTGTACCCACTGAACAGTTTCTTCTACTACCCTGAAGGGTTCAGGATGAGACAAAAACCCTTTGCTTCTTTTCAGCAAGTTTGCAATTGTTATCAAGCAGGTTTGTAAGCAACTTACCGAGGTACAGCAATTTGGAGTATAAAATTATAACTTTATTTTCTATAAATACATATGCTAAAATCAAGATAATTTGCAATTTAATCAACAACAGTACATACTTATGCTACTTTTAGAATTCATACTTATTCTACATCAATACAATGTGAACAGAATTAACTTCTCATTCCCAAATAAACTTTTTAATTTCTATCATTCTATCATTCTGCTATTCTATCATTCTTCTTTCTCTGTGCTTTTATTGCTTTGTAAACAATCTACTGCTAGCTTTGTGAAGCTTGTAACTTCTGCACTAGGAACCTAAGCACTGATCCACATCTAGAACTGAGATTTGTGAAGAGATGTGATCATGGTATTAATTCACCAACGATTTCCAGAATGTTTGATTTACAATGTGAATATAAAAAAGTAGAAGATTCCATTCAGCCTATTATGGAAATAACTTTTAAAATAAAATACTACAAGGCCTTCCTTGAACCTCAGTGTGAAGTGTAGCAATTCTGATTATGAATATTAGTTAAATGAGCCATGTAATCTGCTAAAAACCCAGCAGAGTGATTCAAGTGAATCTGAGCAGTGACTAACACACAACAGACTCTGGTTATATCCACTTTATCCCATGGCTACTGCTTCTCTGGACATGGAACACAATCCAATAGGTGCCAATAGGTGTTTTATACAAAGCACTCAAGCAAATAGTCTGAATTACAAAACTAACAGGGAGCTTTCTTCCAGCAACTCTCTGAACTTTCCAAGTCACATTCAGTTAACCATTCTGACGCTACATGGCTGCCTGCTATGATTAGAAGTTTATCCAACAGGTGAGTTGTCTCAAAACAAGCATTCTGCTACTATATAATCCTAGGTTCAGACCCATACAGATCTTTCCAGCTGCTATTTTATCATGTGAACTAAACATTAAACAGAACATGCTTCCTAAAACAGAGTAGGGTACCCTTCACAATTCTCCTTGATATCAGCTCTGAAAGGTGTCCAAGTGATTCCACACAGTCCTCCAACCATCAAGGTCTAAACCTTGCTTCAACTAAATGACACTGAGGAAAAGTGATGATCTACAGACTCTTCTGTTTTGTCCTACAAACAGATGCAGCTATGGAGCTCTAGACAGAAATACACTGTGCTAGAACCAAAATACAGCTGCAGTAAAATATAGGTGCAATAAAAGCAGAGACACATTTTCAATTTAGAACTGTAACTTCTCAATGTCTTATATAAAAAGGCTGGGCAGATTAAAAGGAAAGTCACTGATAATATTGGTTCAATGAATCTCTAAAACCCTATAACAAAACAACTTTCAACCAGGCTACACCTAAAATTCCACCATTTTTGTGTGCGTCTGACACAATACATGAGACTTTCAGTCTGACTGGAGATGTACAGTTTTGGTAATACTTTTCTATCAATTGAAACTGAGACGTCTTACAAAATTGCAGTTTGGCATGATTTAATTTTATATTTTCATAGCATTGTTAGTTCAATCAATTATGATTAAATGCTGTACCAGCACAGAAGATGGTAGCCATGGACCCCTTCCTATGGAATTTATGTCAAAAATTTAACAGAAAACAAGTAGGGTGGGCAGTTCTAGAGACTACAAAACAACAACATGCTTAAAGCTCTCTATAGTCAGAAACAGCTCGGCTAGGATCAGATTGTAAATGTCTGTTTACATTTGCAACAACACACAACTTTAAAGACCCTGAAAAGGTTAGGATAATTCAAGTTTAATTGACATCTGTAAAAGATGTCCTGGGAAATACAAAAAACTTATACAATTTTCACGTTAGAATGAAGCACCTGCTGGGCTTAGAACTTTCATTTCTGTCTTGCATAAGTTTAAAAACAAAACAATAAAGAAAATTCTGAATAAAGAAAGTATCTAACCACATACATTACTTAAGAAAAACAAAACACAGTGTGGCTATAAATATTCAAAAATTTTTCAGAATATTATCGTAGAATGGCTTGGGTAGGAAGGGATGTTAAGATTATCAAGTTCCAAACTCCCTGCTATGGGCAAGGACACCTTTCACTACACCAGGCTGCTCAGAGACCCATCTAACTTGACCTTGAATACTTCTAGGAACAAGGCATCCAGAACTTCTTTGATTCCAGAGCCTCACCACCACCCCCTCACACCAGTAAAGAATTTCTTCCTCTTATTTAATCTAAGTCTACTCTCTTTCAGTTTGAAGCCATACCCCCTTGTTCTGCCACTTCAAGCCCTTGTGAAAAGTCCTTCTCCAGCTCTCTTATGGTCCCCTTTATGTTCAGAAAGGTGCACTAAGGTCTCCCTGGAGCTTTTTCTTCTCCAGGCTGAACAATCCCAACTTTTTCAACGTTTCTTCATAGGAGAGGTGCTCCACTCCTCTAATCTGTGTAGTGGTTTTGGTTCACCAATTTCAGATCTCCATACAAAACCACCACAATCTTCTTTGTAACCTTCCTCTGGATTGACTCCAACAGGTCCTTCTTGTGCTGAGGACCCAAGAGCTGGACACAGTACTTCAGGTAAGGTCTCACCAGAGCATGAGTATTTCTTTTTCAATAAGACCTATACACATGATATTCAGAGACCATCCTGAGAAGAGGTCCCTCAAATTTAATCTTGCATTATGCCAGGCCAGCTGCAGATTTCTTTGTATGAATTCTTGTTTTCTATCACCATAGGTCCCTGCCTACCAAGTTCTGCTGGAATTGTTCTACCAGGGCCACCTGTGGAATGTTTCTGCATGAATTCAGGACAAATAAGCATAATTCTTTAGCAGGTTTATTGTTTTCCACTCTGACAGCAAGGTGGGAGTGTCTCCCATTCTGTGCACTTCTATCCTTTTCAACCAACATAAAAGCAGAAAGTGTGTAAGAGATCTTCAAGGGATTTGGAATGTGAGTGGTCCCATTCTCATATACAAGGCACAAAATGCCTATCTGTGAGCCCAAAAATTTTCTTAAAGCAGCTCATTGGTGTGGCTGTTGCAGAATTAAAGTCTGAATCTCTAAAAGGTCTTTCTCCAGTACATTGATCATTTCCCTAGGTCTTTTTTTATTCAAAATACACCATAAGAGTCTGAAACTAAGGCACCTCTCTAAACACAATATTTTTTAAGAACATTAGTTACAGACGAGTGATCTGCACTTCTTATACTACCAACCTGCAGATTCTCATAGCAAGAGATTAACAGGAGTTACTATTTCCAGAAGGACTGATTGAGGAAAAGAAAATAGAGCAGTATTATAAGATTCTTTTATGAAGTAAAATAATTTCAGCCATATCCCACTTACACAGTCATACAACACTGCTTCACAGGTAGTGCACTACTCTAGTTAGATCAAGACAAGTTTGGGTCAGTTTTCAGATTTGAAAGACTCCAGAAAATTGAATTCTCTCTATTTAGGATGAGTGTGCAGCTTGTAAATGCAGAAGTATAGTTTTTAATAGATCTTAGAGCAGACCTTCTCTTTTTAAAAAGCTGACAGAATAAATTCAATTCAGAGATTTCTCAGCATTTTAGCATATGCTTCACATTCATCTGACATTTTGTTGTAACTTTGTCATGGTTTAACCCCAGCCAGCAACCAAGCACCACACACTCAATTTCTCACCTTCCCCAGGAAGGAGAATCGCAAAAAAAGGAAATAAAACTCATGAGTCAATGTAAAAAACAGTTTGATGACGGAAACAAAATAAAGTATTATAATATTTCAGTATTATAGTATTATAATTTATATAATATAAAATTATTTTTATATAATTGCTATTATTAATAGCAATTGTAATTAAAAGAACATGGGGCAGAATAAAACTTAAGAAAAACAAATGATGCTCACTGAAGTTGCTTACCACCTGCTGAAAGATGCCCAGCCATTCCATGAGCACTCATTGGCACCTCCTGGCCAACTTGCCCCAGTTTATATACTGGGGATGGCATTCCATGGTATGGAATATCCCTTGGGCTAGCTCAAGTCAGCCATTCTGGATGTACTCCCCATCCCCAGCCTGTTGTGCAGCTCATCACTGGCAGAGCATGGAAAACTGAAAAGTCCTTGATTTGGAGTATACAGTCCTCAGCAACAACTAAAATCTCCGTGTGTTATCAACATTACTGTCGTACTAAATTCAAAACACAGCAATGTACCAGCTACAAGAAAGAGAATTAACTCTATTCCAACGGAAATCAGGACAGACTTTCACCAAGAACACTTGAAATGTACTAAATGGACAATACATTTATCCTCAACTATTGTGAGACATAATCATTAAGATCACAAATGCTCCAGTCTTTGGCATACATGGACTGTATGAGTTAGGAACAATAACACAGCACACGTCTATAAAGTACACATTAACTATCATCAGAGAGAAAGTAAATTCATCTTAATTTCATTAAGGCTGTAAAAAAGCAAGGCTTTATAAAATTCAGAAACAATAGATAAAAGTTCTTCACCTCTTCCCAAAAATTCAATAGGTACTACACTTGTACTAGCTGTTGGACTAAATAAAGTGAGTGTTTGTTTAAATACGGTAATAGTTTTGAACTAATTGCTGTAGAAATGATCCAAGTAAGTTTCTGTTCTTCCAATTTTCCTGAACTCCTGTAAACCTTTGACAGAAATATAAATGCTTTTCAAGGGCGATTTTGAGCTTATACTTGAAAGTACATTTAGACTTCTCCATATTTAGAAAGGACTAAAGATAAGAAAAGGTTGTTAAGACACGAGTGCCCCTCAGTGGCAGTAGTTGATATAAAATACAATTATATGATACTTTAAAATCATATTTGGAATATTTCTTTTTATCACTCAAGGACAATTGCACCATTAAATCACATTCTTTCAAAACTGCATCATTACTAAGAGTCTGAGGGGGCTTAGCACATAAACTTTCATAATGAATAAATTTAAATATGTAGAACATGAGGTAAAAATATTTACTATGAAACAACAGTTGCTGAGCATTTTGTGGATGGGTGTGCGTGTGTGTCTACAGTTTACTGTTATATTTAAAGAAGAGAGATGGAGTTTTGCATAAAGACTTCTTACAACAATTCTGCAGCATTGAAATTGTTTGTTTTCTTCTGTGTCATGAGCAGCAAGAACACATGCAGTAGTTCTTTGAGAACTTCAAAAACTACAGGATCTGAATTGCCTGGAAGGCTTGCTCTGTGTACCAGGCTGTATTCATTTGCTCAAAGACTAAAACTGTGCCATGCTTTGTACTGCTCACACACATATTGCTTTCAAAGTCTGTCCTGGAAACTGCCTAGGTTCCTTCCTCCACACTGTGGTGACTACAGAAGCATACATCAAGAATATTCACTACTACAGACATACAAATAGCACCTCACTGCAGCTGATCTGGGAATAACTGAAGAATGCTAACCAAATTCATGGCAGAATTGGAATAGAATAGACAGCTGTTATACTTTGTATGTTCATTACCACTTGCTCTGTAATCTGATTATTTCAATATTCTTGCTAATTTAAATAAAAGCAGGCCTTGAAGCCTAACTATAGTTTAAATATTTTAAGGCTAAATCATCTCCATCATATTTACCATCCATAGCTGCAAAAAATATAGCCATGGCAGATGACACAAAATTTGCATTAGCAATTATTTTACTTCTGTGCCTGGGAAGGTCATGGAACACATCCTCCTAGAAACTATGCTAAGGCTCATGTAGAACAGGGAGATGATTTGAGATGGTCAGCATAGCTTCAACAAGGGCAAGTCCTTCCTACCCATAGTGACCTTCTGTGAAGGAGTGACTACATCAGTAGACAATGGAAAGACAACAAATGTCATTTATCAAGAGTTCTGAAAAGCCTTTGGCATGGTTCCCCAAAAGAGTAATTCATGAGTAGACTGCTAGATGGATAAGAAATTGATTGGGTGGTTGCATTCAGAGGGTAGTGATCAATGGCTCAAAGTCCCAATGGACACCAGTGACAAGTAGTGTCCCTCAGGGGTCCATACTGGGACCAGTGTTATTTAATATATACATTAATGACATAGATGGAGGGATCAATCTAAATAAATTGCAGGTGACACCAAGCTGAGTGGCGCAGCTGGCACACCTGGGATGGCATCCAGAGAGACCAGGACAAGCTCAAGAAATGGACCCATGGGAATCTCACGCAGTTTAACAAAACCAAGAGCGAGGCGCTGCAGCTGGGTCAGGACAACCCCTGGTGCCAATAGAGGCTGGGGATGAACAGATCAAGAGCAGCCCTGGAGAGAAGGACTCAGGGGTGCTGGGGGGTGAGAGGACATGACCCAGCCATGGGCACTCACAGCACAGAAAGCCAAATGTCTCCTGGGCAGCATCCAATGCAGCGTGGGCAGCAGGGCAAGGGAGGGGATTCTGCCCCTCTGCTTCCCTCTGGTGAGACTCCACTGGAACCCTGCATCCAGCTCTGGGGTCCCAGCACAGGAAGGATATCAACCTGTTGGAGTGAGTCCAGAGGATTACCAACAAGATGATCAGAGGGATGAAGCACCTCTCCTGTGAGGGGAGGCTGAGAGACTTGGGTTTATTCAGCCTGGAAAAGAGAAGGCTCTAGGGTGACCTAATAGTGGCTTTCCAGTACCTGAAGGAAACCTCTGAGAAAGATGAAGAAGGACTTTTAACAACAGCACATAGTGACTGGACAAGGGGAAATGGTTTCAAACTGGAAAAGGGTAGGTTTAGATTAGATAATAAGGAAAAAAATTCTTTACTGTGAGGATGGTGAGGTACTGGAACAGGTCATCCATCCCTGTGAGTGTTTAAGGTCAAGATAGATGAGACTGCGAGCAACCTGATCTAGAGAAAGGCCTCCCTGCACGGGGGGGGATTGAAAATAGATTATATTTAAGGTCCTTTTCAATCCAGTCCATTCTGTGATTTGATGATTTCACACAACAGTATAATAATGCAATAATTTACTAGCTTCTAAGAATGATAACCAACACCCAGGAATCTGAACCTTTCTGAGTTTCAGTGAAGAAATACTTCCCAGGTACATCTTGAGAAATTGTCTTCAAGCAGAGCAGTTCTACTAGTAAGTGTAACTTTGCATTTATCCCCCAACATGACATTCTGTGGAGTGAGATCTCAATGAACAATCCTCTTGTCTTTATGCAAATAACGAAGAGCTAGACAAAGCTTAAAAACAAAAAGAAAGAGCCTTACAAAGATTCTTAACTACAACCTAAACAAAGACACATTAAATTCACAGCTATGTATTAGTGACTGATATAATAAGCATTACTTTGTCATTTATTAGCTTAAAAACATGGTGCTACTAATTACAGGCAGGAAAATCCCAGCAAAAAGAATGGAGGCCCTTACTCAAAGATATGCCATATTCTGTCATCTGTAAACTGTTGTTGCTTTTCCTTCAAAGAGTGAAAGTATTCTCCCAATGGCACCCCCTCCATGAGCTCTATCACTATATACAATCTGTCATCTCATAAAAGAAATTAATAGAACATTGTATTTATCCAGAAATAATTTTAAAATAGAGTATTTGAGGTAAAAAAATGTATTTTAAAAGCTGGGTTTTTTTAGTCTTTAAAAATTGTGTTTGTACAGGTAGATACACCTTAATCTAGTTCTACTCTTTTTTGTTTGAGTTTTTCCTCAATTTATGTCACAGAACTATAAGGAAACCATTGTCTGCTAATCACTCAGCAGGCAAGTGTATGTAGGTAACTCTTTATTGAAAGGAAAATTAAAACTATATGGCTGGCAATCTGTATCATTCACTCTACTACTCACCATAGCCTTTCTCCCTATTTAGCATTTCAATTGTACACTTTGGATCTTTAGAGGAGAATAATGATCCCCCTCTTTATGAAGCTTCCCCTCAAATCTGTAAAATAATAACAAAGGAAAAGTCTACCTTATATACACTTCCAAAAACTCCACTGCCAATGTGCTCTAAAATTGCATAATCTCCTACATGTTTTGTGGGTGCCTTATTCATGTTCTCAATACTTTCAGTGATTTGCTTCAATATATCCTCCTAGTAATAAATTAAATCACAAATAAATAAATTTAAAATATTTTATGCCTTTCTTGTGCTAAGAATGTGCAAGAATACAAGTTCTTACAACTATGAAGGCTTAAGGTTTTTACTTACCTTTAATGAATTCAGCTTTAATACCAACCCTTCATAAGCTCTGATATCATACACATAATGTCCAATATCAATGAGGATTTCAAACAAGTCAGTAGGGAAAATTCTAGAAAGGTGCAAATTTTTTTGTATCTTTGAGAAACAATGTACACAAGAGCTATTAATCTACACCAGAGACTTTTCAGTGTTTATTATTAAAACTTACTTCAGAATCTCCTAAACAGTACACTTATTTTTCACTAATGTAGTAAGATATTAAGCCTCTAACACTACATACATAGGAGTTAAAGCACCTTTTAAAAGTCAGACTTCAGCCTCCATTGGCTGGGTATTAATATAAATGCCAATTCTCCAAACAAGTATAAGCCTTTAAAGTCAATGCACCTTCTGAATTTCCAGTAATATTACTTTTTTCTTACATTATTTTCTTTTATGCTTATTATCACGGTATATGAGTTTCTTCTTGTAATGCACTAAGTGACAGGATTAACATTTGTCAGCATTTAAAGAATCATGACATCCATCTTTGAATTTTTGGCCAATAATCCTAGTCTAAAAGATTAAAATTACTGAGAAAAGCAAAAGCCAACAGAGAAGAGGCAACAATTGATTACTCAGATGCTTGACTGAAGTTTTGTTTCTTTTTAAACTTCTAGAATAAGTAGAAATGCAAAAGATTAGGCATTTGGAAAAATCAAAAGACAGTAAATGAGCCCAGATTCTTCAAAAATTTGCCACCAACCATGAAAATCCATTATAAACTGAGGCACTTTCAGTACAATATCCACTTTTTAAAAATAACACAAAAGTCATAAAAAGAATTTTAGTAATTTATGATACATAATAAAAACATACAGAAACACTACTGGCAGGAAGATGTCCTAGATACTCTGATTACTCTTCTAATGCCACAAATCACACTGCAAGGTTTCACATGGCCTTTGTAGCCAACCTGGGGAAATTGTGATCTTACTAGTAAAAATGTGTAATTGATGGAAAACATTTTGTCCTTATTGATCCAAACGTTTTAGTAACACTCCGAAGTAAAACAGCTTGATGCAAAGTCAGACCCATGGCGAAAGAGTAGAGGGCTCAGAGAAAAAAATTGACTGCTTCCAGTTAATTGCTACTATCTGAAGCTGCAAATTGCACATGCTAATCTTCAAGGTAAAAGTATGTTTTATTGCCAGCACTGTTAAAGCTGTCCTCAACATATATAAAAGGTTTATTCATGGGGGTTAGAAGGAGCCCACACAGAGCTAGGTTGTCTGGCATGCACACAACAGGAGTCCCAATAGTGAACACCTCATCTTGTAGACTGGCTGCAGTGCAGGAATGACTATCTGTAGTTGTGGACATGACAAAAATTGCCCATTACAAAATAAATGACGTTTAGAAAATATTTCTTTCTGATTGGACTTTTGAAAGCTATCCTAAAAGAGTTTCACAAAATGTATGGTTAACACACCTTTCAAAAATATGTCAATTTCTTTCCATACTGAAGAGAAATCTCAGGGCTCTTAAAACATAATACTACAGTAGGAAAAGCACTTCAATTAATGAGAGATTTATGACAGATGTGGAAAAGCCACTGATAAACAACGACTCCCCTTGATACCTTGCACACAGTCAAACTTTGTATTTAAACAACAGATTATCTTATTAACCTGATAACAAAGGGAATAAAAATATATTAAGTTCCTCCTGTATTTTAAAAGTATGCAAGGACATTTAGGGGGGAAAATAAGGGGGAAAGAAAAAGAAGTGGTGATGATAGCTACAGCCCATGCTGAGGCATACCTAAATCTTGATCATCTCTTTTCATCTACAGATAGCTCAAGTTTTGAGACCTGCTTTCTTCTCCAATGCTGAAAAAGGTAAATACAATAAGTGGGTTTGTACTGTTGCAGTAAAAAAGCAATTTTCTGAAAAATGCAGTGTGGGATACTGTAAGTTCTAAGAGGGGCAGAAAAGAAGAGATTATTCAATTGTTTGACCCTAAATTTGTCATATTTACAGACAACTTTATGTACCTCAGCTTCTTTATATACCTTAGTTCCAACGCAAAAAAAGTTACTTAAAACAGCTACTGGCAGGTGGTTAATACGTCTGCTTTGATACAACTCATCTTTAGCTCTATTTGTCAAGATTCAATGATATGGCACATTTATAGGTGAGCAATCAGAGACAGTCCTGAATTAAGATCACTGAGGTCAGAAAGAAGATGAAAATTTCATCATTGAAAACACACACAATGGGGCAGTAGAGAAACTACACCAGCAAATATTCTAAGAAAAATATCTGTGAAACTCAAAAAGGATATTCCAATATTTGCAACTCTATTTCATACCAGTAACATTTTCAAAGGCAATGCAGGTAGCAGTATGAGAAGTGGAACAAGGTTTCATAAACTTCTTGTCCAAAACAGACTTCGTTTTCACATGTGATCATTAAGTCCATTATTAATTCATAGAGCTTCATATTCAACCCAACTACAACTGCTTAGTAGCTCTTGTGAGTTATTTCCAATGCATTCTGCTGGAATCTAAAATTCTCAGTGGGCATAAATTAAGCTCCTTACAGTTGTGTGAGGCAACTATACTGAGCATACTATCCAGTTGGTTAGACTGCATGTTAGTTCCATATACCTACCCACCGGGAAGGTTTGTATTTATCATCCTTAAGATGAAGTGCACTATAAAATCTTGCAGTAGAAAGGTACCTACTGTATGGAATCTGCTCTCCAATTTTAATCCAGAAGAACTGTGATGAGAAAGTAGAATGATGTATTTTTTTCTTTTTTTTTTTGTGGAAATGCCTTTCTTTGCTATCCAAGCATGCCTACCTGATTAGACAGTGAAGTGGCTATATACACATTTTAGGGGCTCTGTCAGAACAAAGACCACGTGAGAGGCAGGATCATGAATGCATTCAGCTGTGCTAAGGACTTTGCCAACTAGAACAGCAGCAGCTGTGCTCATCCTTGTTGGAATCCTGGATGCTGAGAATTTTAAACTTTCTGTGTTGAAAAGCACAGACTCACAAGAGAGCACTACATTTGACCTGAGGCTGTGGAGAAGACTTCCAAAATTGATTAATAGCACTGGGATTATGGTGTGTAGTTGGTTAGAAGTGTGTAATATGACAGGGTGGAAAACTTAAAGTTTGGGGGTTTAGAATATAGTAATAAATATGAAGCAAGATGAAGGTTTTAGGGCGGAGGCAGGTTGTTCTTCTTCACCTTCTTCTTCCTCCTTCTTCATGGGTTTTGGTGGTATTTTGTAATTGGACAGAAAAGCCTGCATTGCGGGCTTCAAGGCATCACTTATTGGGTTGAAAGGGAAAATAATGTGCGTGTCATTTCTTAATTGGATAGTTTAGTCTTAAAAGACCTTGGAACAAGAGATAGTTAGCCATTTTGTGCCTTGCTAATGAAAGATTGCAGAACTCATGGCTGTGAGGCTGTTACACTGATAAGAAATAATAAACACATGAGTCCCAACATGAAATACTGTCTGAAGTGCCTTCAATCCCAACAGAGGTAGAAAACACAAACAGAGAATCCACAATCCCTGAACCCCCAAGCACTACATTCCCATATCTTAGAGAGGCACAACACTGCACAGAGCCTGAGAAAAGCTACCAGGTAATTAATTACTACTGATGACCTTTAGCCTAAGTTGACTCTAACCAGTACATTTACGGGGGTAATGACATGCAAAACCAAGAGCCATTGTACGCTTACTTGGGCTATATTTATTCTACACTTAAATTTTCTCTATTTTATATGCTGCCTTCATGTATTTTATTTAACATCCACAGAAAAATGCTCCAGAAATAAACAGATATTAGTAGAGTGTCAAGTCTAGGGTGAGTTTCAATGAAGATCGAGGCTCTGTAAAGAACTGATGCTATACAGCCTGAAAAAGTAGAGGAAAGATTATCACAAGAAAAATATTGACTTTCCTTCACACTATATGAGGTGCCAGAAACAAAGTAAATCAGATCAGAAATTGAGTCTCTAACTTTCAGTTCCTATTTGTTGTTTTGGAGTAGGGGATTCCCCTTTAAATATGACTTTTTTTTCTACTGTACTTCAAAATAAAAGTTTATTTTAATTCATAAAAAATTCTCAGGGACTGCTGAGGCTCTCATTGTGCAATTATAATAGAGGGAGTTACCTGTAATAAACTGGCTTTTTCAGCATTCCTTTCTTTGTTTGATAAAATTAGCTTTGCTATTGTATATATTGCATTTGCCTAGAAACAGAAAAAGGTCAGCATTAATAGTGCCCCCTTGCATGCAAACCACAAATAAAAACCAATGTTCAGATAAATGAGAAGCTAATAGCAATGGACAAGTTCTCAACATCCTACTGCACACCTAAAATATAAGCTGAAACATGTATAAGAATTAAATCATTGTTACATTTAAACTGATACCACAAAGACAGCCTGTGAACACATAAAGAAGAAATGCTTCTATCTCTACAGGTGAAGAAAATTCCAGCAATAGATCTCCTGTCACCATGTGGTACCATACTTTGAATTGTCACAAACAAATTCAAGTCTTAATAAAAATAAATTGGAGAAACACCAAAAGTGATAGCCTGAGAAGTCTGTCCAATACTCCAGAATTTTGTGGAAACCATAATGAATTCAGCTTCCATTTTCATGCAACCATGTATCCTCCACTATTCTATCCACTTTGTAGGTCTGATAGACGGGCACTGGTAGATTTAGTTGGAGTACTTCTCCCAGTTACTTGACAAGGTCCCTGATGGACACTACTCTCCTCTTTAGCAGACTTGAAGGGATTATATGTCAGCTCTGCAGAGGCTCTTCTGCAGTTTCTGATGTTTTCTTCTACTATCCAGGAAGCTAGCATTAAGCTTAGACTATGGTTAAGCTTAGGTTTTGAGCTGTGCAGTGGAGCCATTGAGTCAAACACATTGTCTGCTACCAGAATTACTGCAGACTGTTGCCAAGGCTGTGACAAGGACAGAGGACAGACAGACAGGTAGAGAGCAGCTACAGCAGAAGCACAAGTTCCCAAGAGACCTTTGACACAATTATATAAACTTTTACAGGTTACTTAGATTGACCTCCTTGGCACATAACTGAAAAAGCTGCACACCTTTTTCCTCTGTTTTTAACCCAAGTGAGTTGCTTCACCTTGTTCACTACGCAACTCTTGAAGTTATATTAGCAAAAGAAAGAGGTAGGATTTAAAATTACTGCAGTGGTATTGTAGGGTGGAACTCCAGTTGAAATGAACATGCTTGAGGCTGTGTCCTGATTTGAAATGGGGATGTTGGCTGGTGTTTAAACAAATGGAGAGGTCAGTGTCTTTTAACATAACGAGCAGAAGTTGTTAAGTTTGAAACACCTTTCCAGCTCTGCACATTGTACCATCAATTTTTAAGCGATTTACTGACACAACAGTCACCATGCACTGCTGGGGCAATGCAGAAAACCTCTCTGTTAAATCCATTTAAATTAAACAAGTGATATTTTATTTTATTTAAATCAGACTCTGCCTAAAATATATCATTATATTGTTTAGATAAAAGTTGACTAAATCAATAGTTTATTGACAATTTTAGTGCGCAAAAATAATAAAAAAATATTTTTTCTTCTAGACTTACTTTCATTTCTTTTCTCTTAACCAATGGTTTTGAAATATACACAAACTTCTTTCCTATTCATATTGAAGGTTCTTGTTCTGTCGGTTCCTCCAGGAATACCTCTAGTTGGGTTTTAAGCTAACTGGAAGGCTTTGATTTAACAGTTAGAGTTTAACAGCTGGCTACAGCTTTCAACTGATATTAATGCCCTTAATATTTCTATCTTTAACTAGGTCTGGAATACAACCAGGGATTTTAAGAATGGTTTATCCCTGGAGATAGAATACCAGGAAGTTCTCTCAGAAATATCACACTCTTATGAAAAGAGAAATTGTTTGTGAAACAGCAATATGTCAATTTTCAGCTGCATAGTTTTTTGTAATAAAAATAAAGAAATTCAGAATTTGCATTTCTTAGTTTATTCTGTGATAACTTTTATTTACTATCCAATTTTGAATATGACAAAAGCATGGTAAGAGATGCCAGAATGAACCTTGTCAAATAAAGCTGTTTATTCTTCCAGACACCTATGTTGATAACCTTTGTGTCTATGTGTAAAATGATAAAGAAACAGAAGTACTAAAGTTATGACAGGCACATTTCCAATCTCTTAAATTATGATAACAAAGAAGAATTAAGTAAAATTATAAACTGTAATGCCTTCCTTAATTGAATAAAATCTTCCTACCTGTGCAACCTGGTGAGCATTAGTCTCATTGAGCACCAGTCAGTAACTGCAGCACAACAAGCTAGAATAAAAATTCAGAAGTAACATTTAGGCCCATTTGACTCTATTGAGAAATCTCTTCCAAAACGAATTTGCTCCGTAACTACAAATGAATTCTCACCTGACTAGAAGTCATTAAATACCACTTTGAAATCATATGATTCATATTGATCTATCATAGAAAATTTAAATAGAGAAGAAAAATATGATCAAATAAAAATAATTTCATGCTAAACACAAAACTAACTAACTAAATAAATAACTTTTTTGTCACTGTTTTTACAGGTGAAGAAATACATATGATTCCCAGATTCTTAATACTTTATGCTTTGCTTTCTTCTAACAAAAGCATACTTTTTGAAAATAAGTGCTGGTATCACTCATTTGAAAATAAACAAATCTGATTTGATGCTCCTACTCTCTAAAGCAGGTGTAAGTATTTACAAATTTGTAATATTTTGAATCCTTTTGCACAAGTGTATGTAAAGACATAACAGAGTATTAGACCTTATAAACCTACTTGCTTGAAGTGAGAAAATATTTTCTTGTATCTCATCCGGACTTGGCTCATGCGACAAATGAAGATACTGGATTTTTCCTGCTGCATTTGCACTAGATAAACTTCCAATTGAAGAGTTTGATACAAGACTTCTTTCCCTGAAAGAAAAAGAAAGAAAAAAAAAATCAAGTTGCAGCGTTAAAAGTGGCTTAATATGTCTTTGTTAACCATTCCTGAAGTTCTGAAAATTTGTATGTTTTCACTAAATTAGCTAATACACTTTGAAAAAGCAAACAAGCCTTTAAACAGAAAATTCCTTTACCATGTTCATCAATTGTATTCACAATTCTAGCTAACTAAATAGGTGTCTGATTAATAGAAAAACTAAACAGATAGTAATGCCATATTTATGACTTATTCATTATTTAGTTTATACACTAAAAATATGAAAAACGCCTTAGGATAACAAAGAAATACAAAAGGCTGGGAAAAATACTGTTTATTCATTATGTTCTAAATAGTCTTTTAAATTTTGCTGGCATCACATACAGCTGTACAAGACAAAGATGCTGTTTGATAAAACAGGGCTTGGTCAAATATATCTTAAAAGAACAGTTTTGAACAATTGCCATAATGTTGAGGACTGAAAACCTACTCCTGCAACATATGATGCAGCTGCTTGATTCTACCCCAGATCCAAATTTCCACACTAGTCTCAGGGTCTTCACAAACCTGTACCAGAATCCAAACTATACTCCATAGAAGTTTGATGTGATGAGAATGGAGCAAACTGAGCAAGACTGGAACTCCTTCATACATTTTCATTTGCTCTTTGACTCGTGACTCTGCACAAAGGGGTCAGAGCAACTCTGCTGTGAACCTAAAAAAAAATCAGCAAGAAATTTCAAAAATAACTCCATCATTACTTTGTATTGTCAGTTAGAAAAGGGAAAAAGAAAACCACACAGGAAATTTAAAAAATAACAGAGAGCTCCTTTTTTGTTTTTGTTTGTTTGTTTGTTTGTTTGTTTGTTTTTTAATAGAAGTCAAAAAAAAATAACTTAATGTCACTGCAACCTGGTGGTTAAAGTCAACCAGGCATACCCAGACAGGATGGGAGGTGGCCAGGTGGACTGCAGTCATCTGTGCTACCATCTTCTTATTAATGGCATTAGTAGTAAAAGTAGCATGTAAATGTAAAATGGCTGCATGAACTTGTAAAGTCCATCTGTGGAACTCAAATAGCCTAGTTCCACAGATAACACAAAAATGCATCATTCTTCTCTAGTATAGTTTAAATATTATATTTAGAAAATGATTTGATATATACCTTAAAAGGTTTATATAAGATTTTCATTAACTGCAATGAAGGTGGACTTCCCATAGAAAATATGGTTAAGGACATCCATTTCCACTTTAAGCAAAAAAGCTCCATGTGTATTTAATGAAACATGTGAATTCAGATTCATATATTAATTTAAAATTATCCTTAACTAGCATTGAACTTCATCATCTTCCTGTCTACATTAAAATTCTAACTCTTACATCTAACTTTTGATTTACATATAACTTTTTCAAACCCAGAAACTAAATCAAACCTTTTAATATATTAATTTTCTCTATTCTTAGTCACACATAACGTCACTTATATGTGTGAAATAGTTAAGCATGAAATTTTAAAAACATCTTCAGAATTTTGAAGGTGATAAGTCATGTCTTATCAAATTTGAAAGTTTTTCTGTTTCTCACTGAAATTCAGTAATGCTTTGCTAGCAGTCTTAGCTGAGATGATTAAACAATTGAAGGAACACTGATGATTTTCTGACGAAGAGGATGTGGGATCTGACTCAGCCTCCAGCATAAACTACAGCAGCTCTCCGTCTTGCAATTTTACTAGTTTATATTGGGCATCCCAGGAACTGTCAGGGCTCAGCATGCTTTCCCATCTAACCATTCAGGTCTGCCAGGAGCAACGAAGAGATGCACCAAGAAAAGTGATTGCTATCACTTCATGATAACATTGCAACTCATTTGTACTGGGGGCCATCAGTGGAGAGAGAGAGATGGATTACAATGGAACTGTGGAAAAGATTTTGCTATATCAGTATGTGACTGAAATACACAGGTATCAGAATTTGACCTTGGGTATATTCAAGTGGCACATTTTCTAATTCCTCTAAATACATGCATCCCTAAATAAAAAAGTCAAAATTTATTTTAACACAATTAATCCACACAAAAAGTCTCACCTTATTCATGTAATATCACCAGCAAGTTCTCAACAATCTCACTTATCTCCTCCCTACATTCTGGACTACAAATTGATTATTCCTGGCAATTTATATCAGATGAAATTATAGGAAAAACACACATTGCTCTTTAGCCTCCTTCTTTGTACATTTGATTAATTATTTTTCCCCTAGTCTTAAGTAATAATATCAAGTTGTGCACACAAGTACATAAAACCACAAATATATGCTGGGTCAAGAGTAACAGTGTAACAAGTTTCCAGTTTTCCCAGTAAAAAAAAAAAAGTAAATGTGAATGCATAAAAATAAAGACACAAATATATTTTGTGCCTTACTGGTAATTAAGCAAATGGAGTACATTTTTAAATACAACCACAATTTCTGTGAACATTTGTAATATACCCCAAACTCTTTCTGGCCCAGGCCAAATGTAACATAAAATCCTACATTACATTCAGTGAAGAAAGTTAAATGGAAGTTGAAAATGTATGTATAACATAATTTAAATTAATACAGATATTAAAAACAAGTTAAACTGAATCAGAGTTTGGGAAGTCTGGAAGACACAGATCAATAACAGCAGTTTTTCTTCTATAATACCATTATAGATGAAAGTTGCTCTGTCCCCCTTTTTGCTCTTTTTTTCCCTTTTAATCTTTATTTAATCACTAATTAATGAGAAGAGGGCACATATATATGGATTTGGCTGTATGAGTTTATTATTTACTACACTGAACAATATTCTACCTGATTATTGTGAGGCACTGTTATATTAAGCTGAAGACAGAAGATTTTTATACGCAGGAAGTCAGCAGGAATTCCAGAATCCTGCATGAGGATTGCAAAGACAGATTCTGTGATTCCAATCTTGCAGAGCCATCCACATGAAGAAGAAGTCTGCTGCAAGGACCAAAGTTTCTATTTCGTTTCTATTGCTTCAATATAAAATTAAGAACATTCAAGTTTTCCTCATAAAGAGCAGTTCTAATATTCTGACAAGAGAAAACATTAAAAAGCTTTTGTTAATTATGGCACATTAAGTTGAACCTACCATTCTACTCAGCTAGTCAGAGCAAGGAGGGCACCAAAAAACACATGACTGTCTCTGGCAAATAATAAATTTACTAAGGTCTGGAAAAAAAAAAAAATAAAAAAAAAGGTAAGTAAATGTGTGATTCTGTGAAAATATAAAGTACATTATTTTAAAACTCAAAAACATACAGAAATACTTAATGGAAAGTAAAAATTAAGATACCAAATCCTTACACAATATGTCAAAAATCTCAGGTACATTTAAAGTACACTTAAATATACACCTAAAATCTTAGAATACACCCAGTAGGACAAGCAAGGATGTTTCTTCTCAAACTACAGTTAGTGTCTCTTTGACTGCTAAAATGTCTCTATTACACCAGAAAACTTCAGAACACTAACTCAGGCCTCCTGAAGTAAAAAGTTAATATTCAGCTTATATTTAAACAGCACAGTCATTTAAGGCCCTGCCTGTATTTCTGTTCATGATTAATATCTAATCAAACTCCATATTTGTCTAGATTCTCTACAAATAGGTTGTCTGATACTATACGATCACAATTGCCATTGTTTTTCTGCATCATGATAGAATCATGAAACCCTAGTTATACTGATTTTGATCTCAACTGTATCTCAGTTTAGCCATAAACCAGCAATAGTTAATTACAGATTCTTAGACTGATGGTAATGTACAGCAAAGGATGTCTGGGTTGACACAGAATATTTAGCCACAGAATACTTTACAAGTGAAAAACCACATCAGAAATTTGTGTAAGAAAACTTTAAAATATATTTACATTTTATAAGTATATAAAAATATTTGAATCACAGTAACGTCTAGCTCAGGACAGTGCATACATGAGCGCTACTTTCTATAGAACAAATGTTTAGTCCAAATGTTTTCAATCTGTTTATCTCAAACAGCCAACAATCATACATCAGACAACTTACAGAGAAGAACTTATTTTTATGATCCTATTAATATATCTGTATTAAGATATTATCTTACCTCACAAGACTGACAAGGTAAGGAATTTAGTCCCATCTAGGTCAAATCTGAAAAGCTTGTGTTATTCTATTAAGTAGCTAATTAAATAAATTAACAATTTTATAAAGCACTTTATGTGCTCCATTTGCTATAACTCATTCTCTTTGATTTCTAACAGCATCAAGCTTTTGGAAAATATCTATGGAAGAAAGGAAGACACACAAATTGACTCTTTCTCACTAATATTTTTATTTTACCAGTCAGATAACAGAGAAAAATACTGTATAAGTTCTTTGAACCATAACTAGTTCAATTTACTCTTTTATTTCAATGCATAAAAAGATACTTATTTCTTAAAGAAATATTACTTATACAGAAAAACAAGCAGCTCCTTTCTACAGGAATTTTAGCTTTTACTCATGTGATGATGCCTACAGTGAATATACTACTATCTTACTTAATGACCACCTGAAGTACTTTAAACATTTTAAGCCTCACACAAAAGTTGTGAGTAGCCTTATCATTCCTATTATCAGCTACTGCACTTATATGTCATGTTGACCAACTTGTCCACATTATGCTGCTCTTCTCTGTAATTAAGGTAACGATTTGCTACTGTTTCCATATACTACAAGTAGGGGAAGAAAAATAAAGGATACCATTAGGAAAAAAAAATTGCAGATTTCATAAATGTAGACTGTTCTGCACACATACAGCCTGTAGGTGGTGCATCTGTTTCATGAAAAAATATTCTGTAATGCAATAGTAGTGTAGCCTCAAGGTTTAAACCTGCTTGGACATTTTAAAAAACCCATATATTTTATCAGTATGCTTTCCCCTTTGCAAAGTCATTTGCTACAGTGCAGGGTATGGTACAGTGCTCATGTCCCTTCAAAAGTCTAGTTTCTTTTGACTGAACCAAAAGAAATTGACTCTTCCAATTCTTCTCCCACTTCAGGAAGCATTTCTTAAGTCTCCTAACTACAAGTCCCAGATGAATTCAGCTAGATTATAGGACAGTTGATTTGAAAACTAGTGAAAAAACTCACACCAACTGCTCATGTGAAAACAGAGGAACAGACTCACTTCTTTCCATAAACCAAGAATATCTGTACACTGCCTTTTACAGTATGTATCATTCTAATCATAATAAACTGACAGGCAACATAATAGACAAAGGCACTGTGAGGAATTTTACCTGAGCTAGATTTTCAATTTCACCCAGACTGTGGAGCATTTCCTACAGGAAAATTTAAAAAAAAAAAAAAGAAAAAAAAAAAGGAAAAAAGGAGTTCAGAATTACTTGTAGTAAGTAGATAAATAAAAACACAAGAGGTGAAATGTTCAAGGTTCTTAAACTGGAGCTTTCCATTTCCTTCAGTAACTACATTATTGATGTAGGGGGAATTTTACAAATCTTTATGATAATGTCAAATACCAAGTCTAGGGCTCAGAGCAATGACCGAGCCATCTGTTATGGAGATTTACAGTTTCTTTGTAAGGGTCAGCAACAACAGACACGACATAAGAAATAACAGAAATTGAGCAAGTTATGCAGCAATGGTGCAAAACCACTCTTGAAATCTGCTTATTTGCAACTCCCATCCTCACATATAGAAATACAGATAGATACATGTACATGTGCATTCATAAGAACAAATGTTTTTACACACAAGCACCAACACAACTGTACACATGACAATTACCTGCATCCCCTTATCCAAGCAAGAAACAATATTTTGACATACTGACCTGGTAGCATGGATCCTTTATTAATAATCTCAGGCAGACTAATAAAATCTAAGAAAATGGATGCATGGGGCTTGAATAACCCATTGCCTGTAAATTAAATATTCAAAATATAAACCAAATGCAATTTAAGAAGTGCTTAAATACTTAAATAAAACAGTTTGATTCAGGATCAATTGACTAGATGATCAGTGAGCGACAACAACTGTTCAACATACTATGCCACAGAACTTATAATACCATTTATATTCAAACACAGTATCAGCTATAAATAAATTTGTTACATTATATCAGCATTACCAGCCACCACTATTATCACTGGACTGATGAGGGAAAGTACATGCTCATCTCTAAGAACAAACTAACTGTGCTTTAATATAAATTTTTAATGGTTGAATTAAGGCCCAAAAGAGCAAAGTAAATGAGAAACCACAGAGCAAACTTCAGTGCACAAAATACACTTATGCAAAAATATGTGTGCTACAGAAGTAAAAATAGCTATATTTAAAATATTCTTTTGAATTATCATAATCTATCCTGGCTTTTTAAAACTCTAATTCTGTTATGCTGGAAAAAATTTGTTACTTAGTTCAAATGTTCTTGAAATAGGATTGTATTTCCATATAGAACTTCCTCCTTCATATTTCTCCATATGATTCACAGCATAAAACATGGTAGAAAATACAAATCAGATTTGCAGAAAGTGTCCAGGGGCAGTAATCCTGCATAAAATACCAGTAATGGAATCACTATTTCCATTGCCTGTTGAAAGTATATATCCCCATTTCCCTATTTAAAATAAACCTAAAATTAGACATCTTTGCTATGTGTTTTTTGTTGTTGTTTTATCTGAGAGGACAAAATTTGTTTGGATAAGTTTCTTGGAAACAGAAAAAGTGTATGGGTCATGGCAGTTTTCTTCCCATTTCATCATTTGAAGTTGGGAATGACGCCAATAGCTAAAAATACTTCCATAAAAATAAATATTTTATAAATAGATACTAAGAAACTCTCAGCCCTTTTATGCCAACATTCTGCCCAAAGTAATACCATTTTTCATTATGATTCCATAATTGGCCACTTCAGAACAGCACAAAACTTTCCTGGAAAGAAAACAGCAACCAGATACCTGTGTGCAAAATTTGCAGGTCAGATTTTAAAGTGGTCTGAAGATATTACCATGGTGGACACTCATTCCCTGAGCCTGATTAACATTTCAGAGCCTCTTCTACTACAGTTACATTTACACATTATTTATAATACACATTACTAGACACACCAGGGTATATCCAGCTTATCTATTAATTTATGCTTGTTATCACTATCACAAAGAACAACAAAAGAAAACCAAAATAAAAGCCAAGTATGGCACAACGTATAAACAGAACTTGGGAAATCAGAGTGTAAGCTATTCTTGGATTTCTGGCAAATGAAGCTGAGCCACTGACCTCCCACTGGTGAGTACTGAATTCACATGCGAAAAAGAGGTACCAGATTTAAAAATCACTTAAATAATTTGTTTTAAACTCACTGTCATTTAGATAATCAAAGCAGACACCCCTACTTCCCCAGCTGGTTCTGAATAAATGTCTAAGCAAACTATGTGGTGTTTTTAGGATTCCTCCTCTAGTAGTTATATATTAATACCTTTAAATGCTCTAGGATTCCATCTTTAAACTTCTGTACCACTTAAGGGGTTTTTTAGAAAATGTATTTGGGCTTTAAAAAGGAAAATACAATACACTGTAAAGGAGTATAGTAAAAAAAAATCCTGAAAAATACATCTTTTTTTCCCTCAAAATATCTTTCTCTGCCCCCTCTATTTTTGTAAGGTCCTGTACTTTTTCCTCATATAAATGCGAGCAGCATAAGAAAAGGTAATACCCTTTCTAATCCTGTCATACACAAAAATACAAATAAACACAAACAAGTGGCATCAACTCGTCTGAATTTTGTGGAAACCACTGGCCTTTCACTAAAAAGGCAGCAGTCTATAAAATATAAATAGAATCAGTAAAATAAATTAGAAAAGCAAATCATAGATTACAGACACCATATACAGATGAATGATCAAGAAAACATAGCAGTTAGAATTCTGGTCATCCAACTTTTGTCATATACCCAGTCCTGTGTTTTTCTGTCCCACTGACCTGGGCATTGCTCCTCAAAGCCGATACACAAGTGGTTATTTAAAACTACCACAAGTACTTCTGGCAATTTCCACAGAAAGGTGTGTTGTTGTAACAATATGGGATATTATCCATGCATCTTGCTTCTTCATGGAAGGCAAGAAAGAGTAGCCCTCCTTCTTGGTTATGAATGTGTTTCATATACTGATCTGCAGGTAAGTTTGTCCTTAACTAAAGTTGTAAAAATATCTTGAAACAGCTGATGCTTGGGATGCTTGCTGAAATTTCTCTCATTCTTGTAGGTCACACTAATAAGGAAGAAAAGAAGAGAATTGGTGAATTGCAAATTAACTTGCCACAAGACAGTTTTGCACTACTACAACTTAATATTAGCAACAAAAACTAAGAAATGTCATACCAGCAGTTGCCATAGAATAACACAATTTCAGATTGCCAGACATTAACAGTCTGTCTCATGAATAATTTGGGACTATCAGAATGGCATAACTTTTCCAAATAAAGAAATTATCACTATTTAAAATGAGTTTATTAACTCTAACCAGTATATGCTGCAGAGTGGGAAAGGTTGAAACTTACAAAGGCAGGAACATAAACAGGTTTAAAAAATTAGAAGTATGTAATTCTCATCTCAAATACTGGATTAACATGACAAGTACAAGTAACAAGACATATGTAAAAATACAAATGCCTTCAACACCTCAACAAGGTGATACCCTTAGATAGATAGAGGTATCTCTCGTTCAGGGATATGAGAGTGTCATCATCATCTTTAAATTATTTTTACCTAAATTTTTCAAGCTCAACAGCTTCTGTTGATTCTTGCCATTGACCATTGGACTTCTGTTCATTGCTTTTGACATTTTGCCAAGTTCTTGTCACACTGGTTTGACCACTTTCAATATATATAGCTGGAAGCTAAAGAGGGAAGGGATAGTAGTCATGAGGCAAACACTGCATTTTAAGTTTTCTGAGAATATTATCACACCAAAGTACCTTTTCTCAAGTTCTGACTTGAACTTTGGACCTAAAACTTGCTATTATAGAACACACACACCTCCTCTGGAAAACAAAACTGACGTGGTAGAAAACTATTGCAAAGCAAGACTGAAAAACAAGTACTGAGAGGTAAGTAAAAGGTGAAGAACAGCATCTTCTAAAATTTATGATAGAAAAGCTCTACAAAATCTGCAACACATGCTCCTTATCTGTGTTTCTTACCTGTCCCAATTCTACAACTGCACAGCCTTCACATTCTTTTTAGGTTGTACAACTCACATGTTTCAGCTTTCTGCTCAGAAGCAATTCCAGGCCTCTAACCAGGTAGAAAGTGCATAACTCCTACCTCACATGGATGAATCCTTTAGTCATTTTGTCATATCTTTTTACAGAATTGAAAGGGAGAAAATGTTCTGTGATTCCAAAGACTCACACCCATAATCATGTGTTGGTTTTCTTTGCTTCAAATGGCAAATACAAGCTTCACTAAGTGAGTTCAGGTGAAGGACATTTGACTTTCTCCTGTAAGTTGGTATTTAAACCAGGATATTTTTAGCTGAAGTGTTATTCTTCAAAGACAAACTGTTTATGGTTAAAATGCTGATCTTATTTTATATTCTGTACCACTCTCCCCCATGCTGTTACTCACACATCCTTAAGCCTACCTTCGTGCGACATTGTGAAAGGGCACAGAGGAAAACAAATCTGCTATGCTACTTTAATATATGCAACAATAGCTGGATAAAACCTGCTGAATATACAAAATAAAGCAATTTTTTCCTGTTAAAATAAAAAATATGGTACAGTAGATTGGGAAGTGGATCAGTTTCATGCTTTTAGCCCTTCTAAATGTGATTTGTGCCACACAGAAGGTCTAATGTTGCCAAGAAAAAAGAGACAAGACATCCTCTCCTCAAGATTTTGCTAACATGTTTTAGTCACTATAGTACATAATGTCCTAAGCATATGCCAGAAATCATAATCACCTTCAGAATCAATTATAATTCTAAAGCACATTTAATAACAGTTATTGAAAAATACCTGACCTGGTTCCTTGACTGAACAATGAAGAGAGACTGAAGCCTTTTTAGATGAGAATTATCCCTAGGAAAAAAAAACACAACAGAGGGTGTTAATAGTTACATAAAAGTATTTCCGTAAGTATAAAAAAGGTCAACAAGTAACAATGTTACTGACAGAAAATAAAGTTTTCTAGCGTTGCCTGGTGTCCACTTTTGTGCACAGAAGAATTTGCAGCTTCTCCAGAATGTCTTAAATCAACAAAGGTGTAAATAAACTTTGTGACCAGAGTAACAGTCGTCATGTTTATACTGCACTTCAAATTGAAGCATTCTGCTTTGGCAGCCAGTGTAAATTCCACACGAGCCCTGCTGAAGTTCAAAGAAAAACGTCAGATATTACACCTCATAGAGATCCCAGGAGGCTTTTTTTTTTTTATTGCTTTTTCTGTGCTCTTCAACTTTTTGTCCTGATCAGGCATTGTGCATCTCTATTATCATTGTGGGGTTAAAAACTCATTTCCTTAAAAGCAAAGTAAATACAAAGAATTATATCACTGTGGCAAAAGGAACCCACGTTTACTTACAGAATCAACCGATACTGCTTTTAGGAAAAAAAAAAAAACTTTGCCATTTTCTCAGCATGAAGCCTTGGGCATTATATCAGGATATCTTTGAAATTCCAGATATTAATAAGAAAGCTTTTAATCTAACATACAGAAACCTTGGTTTTCCAACACATGCATAGACAATACTGTCTTGCTCTTTCATGTATTTTTTATTAGGACTTTTCCTCTTCTTTCATCTTCTTGCCATTATTTCTCTCTGTGAATTGGCTGCTTATGTCACAGCAATGCTTACAGGCTAACATCAAGGTTGTCAACAACAAGCTGTTGTCCAGACAACAGAGAATTTAATAGTTATATTATCCAAATAAACAAGTCAAATGAACGGTAGAAAAAGGAGGTATCTGACAAAAAATGAGATGCATACAGTGACTTGAGAGACATGATTCTCCCCCTCTACCTGACTCTCCTGAGACCCCATGTGGACTATTGAATGCAGCCTGGGGTTCCCATCAGAAGAACAACAGGGACCTGCTGGAGTGAGTCCAGAGGTCTGCAAAGAGGATCAGAGGGCTGGAGCACCTCCCCTATGCAGAGAGAAGCTGAGAGAGGTACGATTGTTTCGCATGGAGAAAAGAAGGCTCCAAGGGAGATATCCAGCAGCAGCCCACTACCTAAAGGGGTCTACAAAAGAGTTGGAGAGGGACTTTTTACATGGGTGTGTGGTGTTAGGACAAGGGGATGATGACTTCACGCTAAAAGAAGTCAGGTTTAGATTAGGTATCAGGAGGAAATTCTTTACTGTGAGGGTGATGAGGTACTGGAACAGGTTGCCCAGAGAAGTTGTGGACATCCCTGGAAGTGTCTAAGGTCAGGCTGGATGGAGCTGTGATCAATCTGGTATATAGTGACAGGTGCCTCTGCCATGGTAGAGACTTGGAACTCGATGATCTTAAGGTCTCTTCCAACCCAAACCATTCTATGAATCTATGACCACACAGTCTGCCAAAGAATAACAGAAATTTTCAGCAGTTTAGAATCTAGGCCTTCTGAATGTCTTACACCAAACCCACCTGCTTTCCCTGCAGTGGCACACAGAGCTTCTTTCCACAGATGAGCAGATCTATATGGCATGGCCTCATAAGGGCTATTACCACACCTTAAATAAAAACATTCAATCTGTAGGTCTGACGTTCCCACAAAAGCCCTGATCTACTCACTTTCTTTCACAGTACACAACACCTGTTCACTGAAAATTTTCTAAAGCCTTCTAGAAAAATGCAGAAAGACATGGAAAGAGGATATTCAAGAGGAATCTCTTGCTGCAACAAAAGCAACTATATTGATACAGATCCTTCTCTGAGTGAAAAAAAAAAGAATGGTCAGGCACAGGCTGGGGCTGTATAATTACCCTGGAGAATTACATATAGCTGTAGCATACTGGTAGAGCACCTTCAATTTAAAAACCAAGGATATTATACCACTACCTGATCCTTTCTACCTATTTTACTGTTCACTAAACATGGACTGTTTGGATGTTCCCTTTGGTGTGTCTTTAACAGGATTTTCTGTATCAAACCTGATGGTCTCCTTTTCTTGCTGCGCAGTGTAGAATTCCTCTGCTAGTGATTTTTATTTCTCCTCCTCATAAAGGCAAAGAAGAAGAAAACTGGTTATGAAACAAAGGCATTATAAACTACCAGAAGCTGCTCCTTCCCAAATGAACATCAAACATTTTTCCAGTTATACAATCTCACATCACAGAACTGCCCAAAATGCAACTGTTGACAGTATGAACTCGTGCACTGTATTAAATCCCTCTCGGAAGTGGCCTGTAAGCCCGGTTCATCCATGTCTAGTCTTTTAAACAAGCCTTTATCCTACCACAGGGAATCATTGATCTGGATCCACAAGAAACTTCTCTGCTCTCTCCCACGCATCTGCTCAAGAAGGTTATTAAAAAACATCCCAGAACACTTCTGTGGCACCAGTTATTACCAGAGAATGAATATAAAGAGGATTTGTTCCACCACTCAGCAGACAAAACTACTGAGTTCAGACTAGACCGAATGCAGTTTGCTCAAAGCATTTATTTCCTTTGCTTCAAGAGCATTAAAAGTTAAGAGAAGCCATGTCCATTGCTAAGCACATTAAGAATCCTCAGGAGAAAGAATTTCCATGTATCATAGTGACATTCTTGTATCATCTCCCCAGTACCCTATCCATTTGGAATATTACTGAGGCATGACACAATGCAATAAGCACCTCACATTTGCACAGTAGGAAATACTGTGAAACTCACAAATTGTCTACTTGACCATGAGTATGTGTGCACAAAGAACAGATTTCAACCAATTAAAGAACAACCAAACCACAGAAAAATAACTTGTTCATGAGCAAACAGAGTTAAACCTTAAAATTTTTAGCATACTCTGAAATCCTTGGGTTAGCTCTTCAAACCACAAACAGCAGGATTCCCAGTATGGCTATGATTTAATCCAAAACTGTTAGGACTTTGTGATTATTTAGAATATTTTACAACTGTTAACCAACCTTATTTTAGGGCTGCCATTCCAATTCTAATGCTACCTTGGTAAAGATTAAATAGAGTAACAGATTACAAATATTTTAAAGGTTTGCTGCCATTGCAGATCTAAAAGTCCCTGTGCAAAATTGAACCTGATAAACATCAAGCCACATTCCTTTCACTGCTGCTGAGAATGAAGGGACACTGGTTACTCAAGGATACAGCACTCAGCCAGCTCTGAAGATTCACCCTGAGCTTACCTCTCTGTTTCCTAGAGGCCAACAAGTCAGCACAGGTCAGGAAGCCCTTCAAGAAAAAGGCCAGCTCTGGCCACGCACTGACCCTTTAGTCTGTCAGCCCAGCATTATCTCAGATGCACAGCTCACTGGATTGGGAAACCTGATTCAGGTTACAAATAATCTCTCCTACTTTAGCCCTGATTGCCTTGTCTCCAAAGCACTTCTACTGTACAAGGGCAGGGATAACATGCAGAAAGGAGGATTTACCCATGCAGCTTAGAATGTTATGCCCTTCACCTTACTACAGAAATTAGACTAATTAATTAACAGCCAGCTGCCAGTGAAAATGGCTTTCCCCATTCCTTCCCTTCCACCAGCAATCCTTCTCTACTTCTTCAGTTGATCTGACTCAAACCTGAGCCAGTTTAGACAGCTAAACACACAGAAAACAATACACTTCCATTTATATTGTTACTTTCCTACCAATTTAGCTCACTGGCAGAGTGGCCAGATGAGTGCCCTTGCTGACAGGGCTGGAATGCACAGGTGTAAATCAAGGGAGAAGAGCAGAAAGCCCCTTCCATCAGTCATTAAATCAGGTAAGTGTATTAGCACCATGAGTGAGGGGCAGACAAACAGAAACAATTCCATTTTCCTTCTATCAGCCAAAAACCTGAGAGAAAACAGATAGTAATATTTCCTTAGCTATTCCCACAGTTATTTGACTTTCTTGAAGTCACCAAGTAAGTTCCCACCCCATGTTTCTTCTTTACTCACGCCAGCAGAAATTTCCATGGATCCCATGGAGCCAGGCTATTCACTGTCCTCACAACTATCCCCCTGCTATGACACCAGCCCTGAGGAATGTGTAAGAAACACACCAAACACTAATTGTGCCAGATAAAAACTGACAACTCTTTTGAAGAACAGAGACACATTAAAAGAAAATTGCCTTTACAGCACAGTCTCATTTAATTCCATTTAAGACAATGAAATTAGAGCAATAATAATGCATTCATTTTAACTGGGGATAATTACATTTAATTAGTTATGTTGATTCAATTACATAGGAAGAGAGATGCATTCTGACAGCACTGGAATGCAGGATAGGACAAGAAATGCTCCAAGAAACCCATCAGAAATGAAAGAATCCACATGATGAGAAACAGGAGACAAAGGAATTACCCCAGACTTGATCTGTGGCCCAGTTTTGTATCTGTCCCAGATGACATAAGCACATAAGCTTCAGAAGGTAAAAACAAACCCCAAAACAAACAAAACCACAAAGACGTGTTGGAGGATGAATCTACCCCCACTGATAACAGTGTAATGGTTCTTCAATAAGATGTCTCACATTCCTTATAATCTTTATTAGCAATAACTAGCGGATATGGATAGTTTGTAAGCCAACTAGTTTGTAGATTTTCCCTTGAACTCCTTTCTTAATCACTGCAGTGGCTGAATTCCACTGTCTAATCATACACAGGATAACAGGCTTAAGGTAGATAAAGAAGCAGTAGATACGGTGGCTTTAATAAGACTTTTGATGCTGTTGCTGGATAGGAATGTATCTAATATCCTATCTAATACCATAACCTGGGTCAGATGAAGGTCAGGTGAAAATTCACTCCCTAAAAGAGCAATCAGAAATATATTATTGTTGAATCAGAAATGGATTTCAAACATGGTCAAAATGATAGCAAAGGAAGCATCAAAGGTGATGAAAAATTCCCAAAAGGTACTTTTCCTTATCCAGTCTAGTGGGGAAAAAAGGACTTCTGGCTGGCTTCCCCTCTTGTTCTCAAAGTGCATGGCAGTCATAATAGATCCCCACCAGTGATATCTGTGCCTAGGAAACTGTATTGAAGAACCCACACAGACAATGTTTGAAGAATACTTCTTTCATTTTATTAACTGAATCAATATGGAAATCTATGTGTTTCTTACACACAAAAACTTCCACACACATATGTGTGTCTCAGTCTTTCTTTGGAGATTCTCTAAATGTTAACAAGGGTAAGGTTCTTCCTCATTTTCCCGACAAATGAAAACATTCAAGCTACTGCTGTTTTGGGATTGTTTGTCTTTTGCTCTTTTTTTGTTTTGTTTTTCCTCTGTACCATCTCATTCCATAAATGGCCAGGCCTGTT